AGAAGAGACATTCTGGGTGGGGGCACGGTAGCGGGGAATGCATAGCGTGCTGCTGAGAACTGATCTGATAAAGTCCACAGGATCAGCAGTGGGAAGGAATGTGTTAGATAAGATTGGCAAAGTTCATTTCCAATGGGTGCAATAGTGAGAAGGCGGAAATGAATGAGATGGGGCTTAATGCAGCTAATGAACTAGTTCTATGTGTCTTGATAAGCCCGTTGAAGGAACCAAGGAAGACGTAGCGGGAAGTTGTAAGCTTATATTTGAGAAAACAGAGCTTGAAGTGTTGGCAAGAATGCAAAACAGATTTTGAGTTAGGATAGTTGGGAGGATAGTACTGGAAGGTGAAGAAGTGATAATAGGTATCGCAATAGTAGAATGTTTTGAACAGGGTGAAGAGAATAATAGTGAAAAGTGGGGAGAAAAATTAGCTTGTGGTTCAGAGTGGCAACAAAATGAAAAAAGCACAAAAGCTACGATATCTAAACAGATGCTAGTAAAGATGCCATACAAAATAGATGGTCATGGTAGGGTGTAGTTCAGAGTTAAGTTTAGAAGTCCAATGTGGTGTAATAACATTGGAAGGGTAAAATCTGCATGAGTTGTCATTGAGCAGTTGTCCAAGTTTGTAAATGAAGGAATTTGAAGCCCAGAAGCTATTTGAGGTACACGAATGGAATGTATTTTCAAAACTATGACAATTCAGGAGGTATAGAGCCTCCATAATAGGAAAGAAAGTTAATGAAATTGGAAAACATGATAAAATCCAAAAGCAACAGAAGTTTGCTGTGTATTCTGCCTAGGGATAAACTGAAGCCAGAAAAACCAGTACCCAGCCACAGGAAGTGACGGATGTCTGTCTGTCATTCATTGCAGTGTGAAGGAAGAGCAGTAGACTGATATAAAATACTTGATAAATCCTTGACAAAAATGAATACTGATATTTAACATATCAGAAAAAACCACAGATAAGTAAATGAGGTCTTACGGTATAAGCGGCACGGCCAAAAGCCGAAAAGTGGTCTTGGTGTTGAAAGGAGTATATATATCTCAAGGCTAAATGTATTGTAATACAAAAGCAACAAACTAATTGGATCAGACTATGAGAGAATGCAAACCACCATGAGTGATAACATCACAGTTTTTACCATTCCTTCACCACTGTGTTCTTGACAGTTTTTTTTCTGGCCTTGGTTTTGACAAATCTTCCAGTCTGCTTGGGTTTATCCCATGGATATTAAAGGCAACTGACTACTCTATCCTCACCACCCCTCGCTCCTCCAGAGAGTGAGGGTTTTCTTGTATTTTCCCCTCATATCAAATGTTTTCTCCAAAGTTGGTGGGACTGAAGAAATAGTTAGAGGGAAGCAGGATTTGGGATGAGATTGGAGTGTCAGACCCCAAGAGCCAGGAGGTTTTGGCCTGGATTATTACAGTAGCCTTTGTCAGAAAGGACTGGGTTATCTTATTTTCTTTGCCTCTAGTAGAGTTGAGATTCATAGAACCGTAGAATCCCCCCACACAACCCCCCCCCACCAACAACAACCTTATCCCTGTAACCCTGAACTTTGTATGGCCAATTCACCTAACATGCACATCTTTGGACTGTGGGAGGAAACTGGAGCACCTGGAGGAAACTTGTGCAGACAAAGGGAGAACGTGCAAACGCAAACACACAGTTGCCAGAGGGTGAAATTGAACCCATGTCCTAGGAATTGTGAGGCAGCAGTGCTAACCACTGAGCCACCATGCTGCGCGGGTTGCTTGGGTTAACAAATCTCCAAGTAAGAAGGTCAGTATTTCTGTCCAACTTTGTCTCATTTAAACCCACATTCTGAGACCTTAGCTCCTTACAAATGAGCATTCATGCAATTTGTGGACAACTATACTAAATTCTCCCACCACTAGTCCTTGCCACATTTAAGGATTACAATAGCAGGAAAATCAGTGTGCTCCTCTCAGGAAAACCATTGAGGTGCACTGCAACTTCTGGTTTTCAAGCCGGAGTGCAGTTGCCAGAAGTTTTGGTGCTCTTGCTGCCCTAAGTTGAGGCGAATGCCTCAGCATCCAACACTGTTGGAAAAGGAGTTTGAGTTATCAATCTAGCCGAGCTCCAAGTGTATATCACTTTTAAAGGTTGCTCGTCATTACCAAAATTCATGGGGAGATGATTATATATAAACATTCTAATTGTTGGGCTTTTGTGCAGTAACATGATTACTCAGATTTTATATTTCCTCCACTTTTCCCCTGTTGATGTGCATATCTTGTTCTTGAACATCATTCAACAGTTGTTTGGCATTGTACTGTTAACTTTAACCTTGACAAATTTTGCTTGTTATCCAAGGCTTATCTCATGTCTCCGAGTTTTGCTTCTCTATGAATTATTTTGAGATTATGAAATGCAATAAAAGATTTCTTGGTCTTGTCATTCCCATGTAGCGTTAAAACTTTTTCACTTTTGATAAGAATCAGTTGACCTCCAACAATTAGGCTGCAGCATTTTTAAAAAGATCAGAGTTGTAGCAATTGCCATGGCTGTGTTGGCTACAATACCCAGTAGTATATTAAAAATAGATCAAACTGCTTTTATGTGCTTTAATAAATACATATGCTTGCATGTTTGATCCTTCTGACAATTGAGATGGAGAGCTTTCTTGCTTGACAGTTCTAATATCCCAGCCATTCTGGTACTTTGAAGGTAGCTTTTGGCATACACAGGTATTTCTCCTATAACATGATGGTTGCGTTCTTGTGCGACCTCGTGCCATAGAAAATCATGTTATAGGGAAATCATTATACAAAATCGCTTAAACTTTACAGTAGAAAGTTCGTGTTATCCAAACAGCGTCCACTATTCATCAATTGCGTTGCAGCCAATTCACGTTAATGAAACCTGTTATAGCAGAAATTCCTGTAAGTTTGAATAAAGAACACTGAAACCACTGCCTATTTTGGCTTAGCAGCCTTTTCAAATGATAAAAATGAGTTTTATATTGGGGTCATAAGGAATTAATTCTGTAGCTTGGTGTTGTGACCTTATTTTGGATTATCAGGTGCTATGGTACCTCAATCTCTGAGTGAGATAGGAGAGAAATCTGCAGCCTGCATTGATCCTTTTTGATAGTTGCACTGCATCAGTCTGCAGCATATTAGTGTTTTTTGCTACTTCTCTAGATTTGTAAGAAATTAATTAACAGAATTTGCCAGAAAGGTTGTATAGGCTCTTCAAGGTTTCCGCCTGTAGCTCATCAAAAAGAGCATGAAACCTTGATACCTTGATAGTTAGTTTTGAAGTGTGCGTGCACCTCTTGATCATCATAAATGTGTACCTGTCTGCTCAATCTTTGCAGAGGTTTATTTTGGTGCTTGTATTCAAAAAGAAGTGAAATGGGGGCTACAGAAATTTCTAAAGGGCCTTGGTGTTTGGTAAACATCCTTTTTTAAAACAATTTACTGAGTTAGTAATTGGATGTCATTCTTTTTGTGGCTGAAGTGAGTGGAAAAACCACATGGCACATTTTCATGCTGCATTAGTAGTCTATGCAACAGTAAGAAGATAAGTTAAAGATACTTTTTTTGTGTGCAGTTTATGCTGTTCAGTTTTCATTATTGAGTTTACATAATGACCTTGTATACAACTTAATGTGATTAGAATGGTGTCACCAAGACAGGTTTTACCCACCTAATCTTGCTGGGGACATCTAGCTTGGACACATCTCTCTTTGGAAGTATACCCTTTTTAAGTGCCCACAACATGCAAAACCAGCTGTGTTCTGTTTACTCCCTGACTTTGGCTAGGTAAGTAGTACAGATAAGATAATTAACCTTCATGGGTCTGGGTTTAACTTATGAAATTTGACAGAAGTTTGTTTTTTTTTTTGCAACCTTTTGGCATATGAGCGTCAGGTCATAGAATTGGTTCAGGTAATGAGGCTGTTTAGAGGTATTTGTGTAAATAATGCAATGGGAAACTGGAAGATGTCCAGAGTTCCAGGATTTTAATGCTGTAATTGACATGAAGGAGAAAGGAAAGTAATGCAAATGTCTGTGTGTTTCAAATGAGATGTTGATGTTTTGATCTCATTGGTATTCCAATCTTGATGATCTACGCTAATTATACAGTTATTTGTGTTGAATACTTTCAGTTACACAAATTCCCAATAAATAATATTTTCTGATTTGTTCCAAGTTCTATGCTAGACAATCTACCTTTGCAAACTTGTAATGCCAAACAAATCACTGATGCATCTGCATTGTAGCAGTGATTTTCTGTCGTCTTGTATCATTAAATGAATAAATCTCATGTCTTCAGTCTGCTCCGTGGGCAGAGCAATCCAGTGTGCTGATCTTTATTAGTATTTAACATGGTCAGCACCTGTGACTTGTGTCAATGGTTGCTGATGGAGAGATCACCATAGCAACCAAAAATAATCCTCCTATCTGCCCTTTTGTGTTTTTCAAATCCTATTGTAAGAAAGTTGTGGATCCATAACTTTATGCCCTTTACTGTATACCCAGTATTAAGAATATACTTGTTACCTATCCATCCCAGTTTCTGATGGTGAGCAAATAAGTTCTGCTTCAGTCTTCTTGCTGGATGATTTACGGTAGTTGTGCAGTAAATCTTTAGACATCCAGCAGTTAGAAACTGGATTTGAAACAGCTCTGGAAAATGAGGCTCAACTAGTTTTTGTTAATTTTAGTTGAGTTAACTTTCAGCGGACTTGTCTAACCCTTGATGTTATCAGATTAATGAATGTTTTAGAATTTCTAAGTTGATGAGAAGGATACAGTAAATATGTTGTAAATTCTTACAAAATGAAATAACTGTTGTATTAATTAAACATGTAATATTGTAAATTATATGTTTTGAAAATAATATGATCTATTTATTTGCTAACTTAAATTTCAGGGGCACTGTATTGATATTTTGATTGCATCAGGCAAAATGAGTAAAAATGCAAACTCCCTTAACAAATGTGTTCACCTCTTTACAGTAACAGGAGAAGGTTTCTACAGAACTCTTTTTTTCATCTCCCTTGAGAAAACCTGAAGAGTAGTTAAGCTGGCGATGTCAAGGGTACCAAGTCCTCCACCCCCAGCTGAAATGTCAAGTGGACCTGTGGCAGAGAGCTGGTGCTATACACAGGTAGGCTAGTCCTTATGTAACAGTTCTTTCCTCTATTCTTTTGGTATGGAAGATGGGTGACGAAACATATATTGGCACTGGCTTACTGGTTATGCCTATTTTGTAGAAAGCTTTGTCTGGTCTCCAAATTATACTTAAGTTACGTATGATTTTTCTAACTTCTTATTTTTCAGAGGTGCCGACTCATCTGAGACTTAGTATGATAGCCACATGCAATGTCCTTGATAGGTTTCTGTTCTTCATGTGTGGGAAAATTTAATAAATGCCTGTAGACTCTTTGGCTGAGAATAGCATTATTGCCAAACTTGATCATAGGAGCTGGAGTAGATCATTTAGCCCCTTGAGCCTACTGTGCCAAGATGATAGATCATCTACCTCGACACCACTTTTCCATGCTATTCCTGTAATTTTTGTAATTAATAACTAGAAACCTGTATGCCAAGTGGGTCTAGGCCCGAAACGTCAGCCTTTCTGCTCCTATGATGCTGCTTAGCCTGCTGTGTTCATCCAGCTCTGCACCTTGTTGCCAAATGTACCTTCCTTTAAGCAAGGGGATTCAATTGCAGGTGCAATTTAATCAATGTTTCACAATGAAAAAAATATTTATTTGCTTCTG